TAGAAAATAATTTATTAAATTATATAATTAAAATAATATAATAAACTAATAAAATATACATAGCTATTATATTATTGTAAGGATGTGACAGTGATAATAACGATGATCATTCAGAAGAAAACAAACGGAATATTGTTTTCATAAACTAATCTACGTGGCTAATCTAGCAATCCTTATGTGAGCCGACTAATCCTAGGACGACCACCTGCTTTGCAGATAGTCCGGAGTCACCGCATTTGAACCTCCGTGGGCACAAAAGGATCTTTTGGGGGTAAGTTTTTGCATATAGGACAAAGTTGAAGGGGGTCTTTTGAAAACCTCTTTATATTATAATATTTTATAGCATAAGTGGACTAGTTTTGTAGTTGTTTGTGAGGTTGATGCTTTTAAAGTGGCTTCCTCTTGCCAAAAGATTGGTGTCCTCTTCTTCTTTTAGAGAGAGAAAGTGTCATCTATCTTTTGCTCTCTCAAAAGGGTCTTTTTCTTGCCTTCTTCATTACCCATAAACCTTTCTATACATTCATTTCAAGAAATCTTGAAATAGAAAGGGGTTGATTACCAATTGTCATAGTTTCGAGTTTTGGCGGTTTTTGTCGATCGATTCGTTGCGAGATCGGTATCACATTTTCGTTCCAAAAAGGTCGTGGTTTCAAGTCTTGACCCTTTTCAAGATTCTCGACTTCCAAGTTTCACCCTTTTCATCCGTCAAAAGGGGGAAATGTCCTTTTCATATCGTTAAAGATTCAGGATTTTACCTTTTCTCAAAACCTTTTTAACAAGTCAAGGTCTTCACGGAAACAACTTATTTACCTTTTCGAGAGGTGAAGTCTGCATACATACCACCCTCCTCGGACCCTATTTTAAGTGGGGTTTTCAGTGAAACAACTTCTTTATCTTCCAGGATAGAGGTAAAGTCTAAATACCTACTACTCATCTGTGTGGGGTATGCATATCTACTACTCTTTCGAGATCCTATTTCGTTTGGGATTTACTGGTTTATTTGGTTTAAACCTATCGTGAGTTCAAGTTTCACCTTTGTTTCACGAATCAAGAGGGGAGAAAGGTATCCGTCATCAAGATCGTTAGAAGTTCAAGTTTCATTTTTTCTCGTCCGGAAAGAAAGACCAAATTGCCCTTTTTCAAGATCGTCATACAATCAAGTTCGACCCTTTTTACCCAGACATATCTTGGCAAGTTTGAGTTTCGTGTTCGGTGACAAAAACACGAAAATCAGTGTATGTTGATTCAAGATTCATCATATTTCCAATGTCTTCTGATTTGTGTGAATTTGAAGAGTGTTTCTTCACTGACCCCTTCTCACCATTGAGTGATTCTTCCACCATTGATATCCTCAAAGCTTTTCAAGAAAATAGTTACAATTTAAACCCTTTATCATCAACTTTGACCCATGAAAATCTTGACACCCCATTTGATGAAATTGACCAAATTGCCCCTACCACCACCACTACCACCCTTCTCTCTTCCTCCCCACCAAGCCACCAACTTGAAAGCCTATCTCTTTACCAAATGGGCAATGCAGTAAATTCACTAGATTTGTGTCCTCTTGAGGTCAAATCAGAAGATGGTCAACTACCCTTTTATGATTATTATGTCAACACCAATTCATTCTTGTCACACAGTTGTGGTGGGTCTGAGAATGCAATGAAGATGATGCAGAGGAGTTACAGCAGTAAATCTTTTGATGGAAGATCAAATGGGTTTCTTTCTCAACCAATAATGGACGGTTTGATTGAATCATCAAATCTTCATTCCAAGGTCCTTACTTCACCTGATCATAGCTTCTCTTCCAGCCATATGAGAAGGGTTTGCAGCACTGGTGACTTACTCGTTAGTCGCATAATCCAATTTTGACTTTTTTGGGTCAAATTAGTTCATCTTTGACATAGAAATCAACACGAATTTTCGTTTTTATGGTTCAAATTGATGATACGTTACGATTTCAACACATGTTGGGGTTAAATCCCAGAAAAAAGGATGTTCAAATTGGATTAACGAAAATTTCAAAATCTGAAAGTTGACTTTTTGTTGAAAGTATGGTTTTTTTTTTGCTGTTTATTTATTTAATTATTTAATTATTTAATTATTTAATTATTATTCTTGAATTTAGAGCTCGAACAGCAAGCAGACAAATGAAGGATTGTCGTCAAGTGCATTAGCGACGGAAGGTTCATTCATGGAGGAAGCAAGTTTCAAAGTGGGGCGTTACAGTGCAGAAGAAAGGAAAGAGAGAATCTTGAGGTACAGAGCCAAAAGGACACACAGAAACTTTAATAAGAAAATTAAGGTAATTATTTTCTCCCAATTATATATATATATATATATATCATTTATATATATTAAGGATCAAACAAGAATACTAACTATTTAAAAGAATCCGAAAACAGTTAAATTACGTGTAAATCACATGTGATTTTACATTAACGGCAAAAAAAGTGTGTGAACGACCCTACGGCCGCGTCTTCGGGTCATGTGAATCACGTGTGATTTTTCCATTTTTTTTATTCTCTTAAATATGTATCATTCTCAAATCCGTCTCTCTCTCTCTCTCTCTCTCTCTCTCTATATATATATATATATAAACATGGGATCATGTGAGACAAGGTTGTTTTCGTGAGACATGTGAAACACGATTTTTACACTTGAAACTTCACAGCAAAACACTGTGAAGGTAACCTTCACAACATTTTGTTGTAAAGTTTCAAGCGTAAAAATCGTGTATCACGAAAATAGCTTTGTTTCACGTGAACCCAACCTTATATATATATATATATGAAAATGCAATCAATTTGTAAAACGACAAGAAGTTCCAAGATCATGTGTAGTCACATGTGATACAAACATGTTGTGTTGATTGGTCGTAAGTGGGAGTAGTCTGCATTCTTTTGAACATGTTGTATCACATGTGATTTTACTATGTAATGACAACTGAACTTGAAACTCGTTGCACAATTATTTTTAAACCTAATAAATCGTACAAACTTACAAATCAATTTTCATGTGTTTTTTAATATATGAAACAACACATGCAAAATACAATGTTTATATAGTGTTATTTCATATATGAAACATCCAACACCACTTTACGTGTGAACAAAAGTACTAAATGTTTCACATGTGAAACGGAACTTGTGCATTTGTACAAGTTGTTTCATATATGAAATAACATATGAAAAACGATTGGTAACTTTATACAAATTATTAGGTTTGTAAAAGAAAAATACTCTGTATAGAGAAAGAGGGAGGTTCAAGGGAAAAACCTCAAAAAATGAAGGAAAAAAAAAACTAAGGAACACCCTGGTAATCATTTATCTGGACTGTATGCATGTGTACATACAAGTAATATAAGTTCTTTCTTTGTTTTTATGCATATGTGCATGTTATGACAAATTGCTTACAAGTTACTTATACGCACTCATGCATACCATTCAAGGTGAACGATTACCAGAGTGTTCGTCAGTTTTTTTTGCAGTTTATATATAGGTGAATGATTGTGTGAGAAGAGAAGTTATGGTGAGAAGCGCGAGAAGAAATTTGAACCCTTGATCACTTTTAATCTCATTCCCACCCGTGAATTGCGTTTTAGAAGGGAATTAATCCAGGGCACCTCATTAGTGTTGACGTTCAATTATGATTGATCTAAGAGTGAAAATCTTTCTTTATAGAAATAGTTTTCAATCATGGGATGAATATGTTTCTATTTAAACCATCCTTATGTGTGTTTTATAATCCAAAATATATCTAAAAAATAAATTGCATTTTTTAAGATAGAAAAAACATGTGTTAATTACGTTACTATTCTTTTTATATAACAGTATGCATGCCGAAAAGCTCTTGCTGATAACCGACCCAGAATTCGTGGAAGATTTGCACGTAATGACGAGCCTGTAGAGATGCCTAAAGCTTCGACTTTTCATCGATATGAAGACGAAGATGAACTTTGGGTACGTATTATGTTTCCATCAATCAGTTCTAACGCTGTTGAATGGCATAACTCAGTATTTTATGCCGACAATAGATGGGGTCAATCCATATTTTTAAAATAACGTTAGTTAACAAATAGATAAACTTATTAATCATGCTTTTGTCCTATCTGTTGTCTCGTATAAGGTATAACTAGAATTGTGATTTTGACGTTTTTAGTATTAAATAATGATGTCCCTGTCGAAAACGTATATTCAGATAAAAAAAATGTATTTCCATTTCTACCCTTCATATATTTTGTGTTACTTGTAGATGGATGGATTGCAAGAAGAAGAGGATGAAGGAATACCAAGAGGGCAATTGTGTAACTCTTACATGCCCATCACCCAATTTCACCAATTTACTTATTTACCTAAATAAAAAATAATATTTTTTGCTTAAATATGTATGTGTCATCTTTTTCCCTTTAGAATTAGTGAGAAATTAGATGGTTATTGAAAGAAATAAAAACCCATTTTGGTTCATAAAAAATAGACTTAAAAGGGTATTTTTGTAATTAATAATATTTAAACTGTTGTAGTTTCATATTTAACAGTGGCGTAAGGTAAAAGCTGATAAGAGACAAAAGAAGCTCGAAAGAGAAGGGAACAAGTTGGTTTGAAAATAATTGATAGGGCATCTTAAATAGATTCATAGAATACCAAAATTACATCTCTGACGTGTAGCTTAGTTGGTAAAGACGTGAGACAACTTTGTCCAAATACAAAACAGGTTATAGGTTCAATCTCGGGCCTACTACTAGTCTCAGCCATTGAGTGAAACAAAAAAATGTCTCCTTACATTGATGTAATTGGAAATGGATTCTAGTGGGCCCAATTGGAATTGTCAGTAATCAACTTTTGTGCAAATACAAAACAGGTCATGAGTTCAATCTCGGGCCTCCCACTGGCTTCACCATGGAGTGAGCCAAAAAATATCTCCTCACATTGATATAATTGAAGGTGGGGTCCATGTAGACCGAGAGCGACTACATGCTTTTGCGGGTAACCCGGAGTCACTCAAGGGGATTTTTATTCTTCCTTGAATTTGAACCTGTGACCTCGAGACATTTTTAATCTTTGAAGCCCAAGCTCAAATTAATTAGGCACCACTCTTGTGGTTAAAAATAATATTATCGATATAAAAGCGGAGGGAATATTTGCTTTTTGTCATTAATATACTGGTAGATTTATGTTGTATTTTATTTTTAACTTATTAAATATACTGAGAGGAAAACTTGGCTGATAAAATGGGTCGAACCAGTCAAAAATCGATCGAAATTGTTTGAATACATATATTTATTTTAGGAGTAAAGTTCAATTTTGGTTCGCACGTTTGCAATTTTTAACGAATATAGTTTCTAAACTTCAAAAACCTGAATATGGTTTCTCGCATTTGTCAATTCTCAACAAATTTCGTAATGATGATAAATAAATATGTGGAATTGTATAAATTTATCTATAAATTCAACATTATAATTTTCTAATTGGTAAAATAGACAATTTAAACAAATTCAGACAGTAATCAATTTACATAAACAAACAGTTTTATTGATTCAGATTTCAGACTTCAACACCACTTCTTATTAATCAGAAGTGAAATAAGACTTCAGACTTCAGTACCTCTTAAAAAACAAACGTCATCTAAATGTTTGAGTTCTCGACTTCAAAATATGAATACATCACCCGGGGGGGGGGGGGGGGGGGATGCAGAACTAGTTATAACAAAAGGATGTAACTTGCTGGTTAAGTGTCGTACTTGTTTTGAGTCAAGGCTTCAAATCTTGACCGATGTTTAGTGTAATATTTTTTAAATTTTTTTGAGAATAAATATTATATCTGCATAATATTTTATAAAAAATAAAAGGAAAAGTTTACTTTTATTTTTTTAAAAATAACAAAGATAGATATTAATATATAGATGTTTTATCTGTTTACCAATACAGTAATACTGTAATATTGTTCCTTCTGTTTTGAAGGACGATAATCTATGGAAAAAAAAATACATATCAATGTCGCATTACTGCTAGCTTTCACTATGCTTGTAGTTGTCTCATCTATATGACGTGACAAAAAGGTTTGTTTCAATAAAGCATTGTTTATTTGTTGTTAATACAAATATGGGCTTTTCAAATAATGTTTTGGTGATTTTCACTTTGTAATTGCAATCAAACGGGATTACTCACTAGACATTGTGGTCTAACTCTCATTTGTGTTTAAAAATGTGTATTACAGGTCGGACACGTGTGGAGAGTAAGGGAAGGGGGAAGATGTGAAAGAAGTTATAATTGTTTTATATTTGTGAAATTTTGGGAAACTGTTATGATGTATGTACTTGAAAACTTGTTATATTTGCAAGTCATATACTTGGTGTAAATGAAAATTTTGTAGCTACTTTTATATGTAGCAACTTGTACATTTGGGACCAATATGTAATAATTGTATTTCATGTTATATGGAATATGTGAATTATATGCAAATGTGGAATGAGATGTTACAAATGATTTTTTTTAGATGCAACAAATATATTAAAACAAAAGAGAGTACCACACCGAAGACTACTGCTAGGAGTTGTAATTTAATGTGTTATGGTTGCTTCTGTTTTGAAAGAGGATAATTTATGGGGGGGAAATACATATCAATGTTGCATTACTGCTAGCTTTTCACTATGCTTGTTGTCAAGATTGTGAAAGTAAATCACAAAGGTGGTGCCCGATTGGTTTGTACTTGAACTCCAAAGGTCAAAAGTGTCTGAAGGTGTCAAGTTCGAATCCAGGGAGGAATAAAAATCTTCTTATAGCCACGAAGATTCAAATACAGTGACTTTGTGCTACCCGCGAGACGGATGGTTGTCCTGAGATTAGTCGGCTCGCATCCAGGTTGGATAAAAAAAAGATTGTGAAAGTAAAGTTGTAGTTGGAATATTAACACTGTGAATGTTCAAAAAAAAATTACTTTCACAATATTTTGTTGTGAAGTTTCAAGTGTAAAAATGTTGTCTCACGAAAACAGGTTGATCTTCGTGAACCCAACGCTTAGGAACTTTGTTCAAAATAGTCATTTTCAACCTCTTAATTAATTCACTTTATAGCTATCTTTCTTTATAATTGACAGAAATAACCAAGCAACTTTGTTGGGTCCGAAAAACTCATCGTTCCCTCGAGCCGGTCAAATCTGCGATTCTTAAACCCAACGCTCATGTAGCAATGCAGGAGCATCCCACATCGGTGAGGCTAGGGGGATTCGGCTTCTTTAYAAGRAAGTGGGAGTCTTACTCCTACCAGTGACGCGTTTTAAAGCCGTGAGGGGTTGGTCAAACCCAAAGCGGACAATATCACGTGGGCGGTTCCCTAGATCGGTCCAACAAACTTACGATAAAAGTACCAACTTACGAAAGTTTACTTTATTAATATTAAATTCGTGACAAATAGGTTTCATAAATTGTTAAACTGTTACTTGTGAAATACTGACTATTTCAATCAGTTGAATAGAAAAATGACTATAAAATGAATTAAAGAATCTATAATAGCTATCTTGGACAATTTTCATGTATTTATTAAAGAGAACATGAAGGAATATATACTTCACATATGAATGGACCACTTTGGACCCCCAATCCAGATAAGGAAAAGAATTTAAACCAAAAAAAAAGTAGTAGCAAAAGTTTATTCACAAATGCATGAGTCAAGGGAATTCCAAGCCTACATCCTAGGAAAGTGCTTAATCACATGATTATGCTTCCACTCTTTTCAAATACATGGTGAATTTGATTGGTTTAATGCATATAATTAAGTATATATTCTCTTATAATGGCTAATGCACCAATATATGTGTTTAGAAAAAAAAGTTGACCATGGTTTCCTAGTCAACAAGTTCTACCTAAAAACATTTATAACTTTCTGATACATAAGCATCGTATTCTATAGTGGGCTAAATGCAGTCTTATAGCGGGTGTTCTTAAATCAAGTTAAATCGTACATTGAACATGTAAAATGAACTCTTGATTTGATGTGTGAAAGAAATATATATATATATATATATATATATATATATATATTAACATGGGGATTGTTGTATGCACCTCGTTTAATGTCAAAATCAGATCAAATCATGCATTGAGAATGTAAAAGTTGAGTTTTGATGTTGATGTGTGTCAGGAGAAAATTACTAGGTAAGAGTGCATTTAGCTCATGTAAAGAGGTGCATTAGCAATCATAGGGGTGCATTTAGCCCACTTTACTGCTAAATGCACCTCTACTGACCAATTTCATCCCCATACACATCAATATCAGGATTTTGTATATCTTTAATGCATGATTTGGTCTGATTATGAGACAAATATGGATGCATATAGTGATACCTTCCTGTTCCTTTTTGGAAAAATAAATATACAAAAAGTTGCCAATATTGTAACGTCCCAAACCCAAAACGACAGGTTGGCCCATTAACTTCTAATTCAACTTAAAATCATGGTAAAAGTTATTTACGACCCACAAATTGAGGCTTGTAAAGAGCTTACAAATCTCATCTTTTATCCATCGTGAACGAGTTGTTAGAAATAGCTTCAGGGTTAGGTCGGGATTAGATTTTCTGTCTTTAAATCATCGTTATGTGTTTGGTGTCTATTGACTTGAATTTTCAAGATTGATGTCTATGTAACGAATTCGGGTAACACATATAGAATATACAACGAATACCACTGTTTTTACTCTTTAATGTACATAAATAGATTGTGTAAATAAATAAAACATTTAGGGGTCGTTTATCAAACACTTACCCCGTAAAGCGTTTTCCAGGTTACTTACCTTATCAGATGAACATGTCAAAGACTGAGAATCTTACTTGTTAAGAGCAATGACAAAAACCGAGAGTCTTACACAGTAAGTGGGGATTTTTATTAATAAATTAAATATTGCATGATTGGATTTTTATTCTCTATTGACTTGCTTTTGTTTTCATTAGTATGGACCTTTTGTAATGATGTCCCACATAAAAACCCTAAAAATTCAAAATTAAATATTTTTTATTTAAATATTGTAATAAATAATTAAATATTCACCTAAAAAGGACCCTATATTCCAATGATTTCACAATTTATTACTCTTGAAACACATTTGTAGAAACATCTTTTAGAAATTAGTTATTTTTCATAAGATATTAGGGGTCGTTTACCAAATGCTTACCATGGTAAGTATTTACCAAGTTATATTACCTTACTGTATGAATATGGTAAATACCAAAAAATTTACCCGGTAAGAGCGAAACAAGGACCAAGAGTCTTACCCGGTAAGTGAGGTCGACAACTCTTCCCACAGTAAACGCTTACCGGGTAAAGTATTGCATATATTGTCAGTCTCATGTTTGATTTGTTGGATTGTTTGGATTTGAAATCCT